GTGAGCCATAGGCTAAACTCCTAGCATCCCCCCTAATAGCCCCTGTACTAGTCCCCTATATAATCCTTTCCTTTTCCTTTCGCGGCGTTTAGGGTCCAGTGGATTCCGCCCAAAAATCATGCATTGAATTCTTCTGCGTGCCACCAGAGAGAAAAGGCGGTGGCCCCCTTCCAAACAGGGGGCTGGAATACTTACAAATCAAAGCCATCCAGCCACGAAGAGGCGCAAGAAGAGCGCTTGCACCCGCTCCTGTCAAAATTGCCACCCCTGGAGCAGAAATCTAGAAGCGTAGTATGCACTCAAGGGCGCAAAAATGCATGACCACAAATGAAAGAGGAGTTCCTGCAAATCGGGCCCAACAGGCAAGCCTCTTCCATAGGACCCTCAAACTAAGCCAACCCCAAGTAAAGTGACAGCGTGTATACAAACCGGGCCTAGCGAAACAAACAAGCATCACAAGTGAGCCATTGGAATTCTCACTCGATCATCTTGCACGACATCACGCCGGGCATTAGCCCAATACAGGGATGGCCGTAAACTCCCACGCTCATACAGAAACACTCTTGCCTCACTCACTTCACTCACTTGGGAACTGCCAGGTTGCGAAGAAGGGGACGGGATTCGATGCCCTGATCCAGGGGCCACCTTGCCAAATCCGGGTGGTCCTTGAAAAAGACATGTCTTCTGATCGTAGACCAACTGCGACTACTGTTCTCGCACTCCGGGTACTTTAGTTACCTTTCGTTGCCGTCAGTCACCAAGCAGGAAAAGGTTCGACTTAGCGGTAGCTTCTTGTCCTGTCAGTGCTGAGTCCTGTAACAACTGATTATCAGCCGTAGTTGGCTATGGCTCCTGCCTTGCCGACTACTGCAATTGCCCATGCTCACAACGTACCAATGCCTTCAGCTCCTTCTTGTGTGACCGCATCGGCCTCCCACTCTGGAACATACAACGTATGCAGATGCCAAGTCCCTGAATTTCATGCAGAACAATGTAGGGATCTCTCACGCAGGTGAGGTACAGGCAGCAGCACGCGCCGTAAGACTGGCAACGGAACTTCGCTTCAGAGAGTACGAGGATGCCGCACGTGCCACGGTAAAGACAGAGATGCAAATGCTCAGGCAATTCACAGACGAAGCTCAAGATCGTTGGCTGGCAGGTTCAACAACTTTGTTGACGAAATTAAGTTTGAGCTGGGAGCCACGCAGGAAGCACTTGAGAGAAAGCGACAAGAGAGCTTGCTTACAGAGCAGCATACGGAACACCTTAGTAGTCGTCTTGTCAAAATGTCCGATTGATTCAAACTGCTCCGAAACCATCTTCCCTTTGTCTGGAATATTTAAGGACAAACTCGCAGCCCATGTAGCAGAGCACAAGCGGGTTCCTACAATTGAGGAGGTAGAATTTGATTCGGTGACTCAGGACCTGTCAGAACAGAATATGCAGCGGGGGGGAGCGCACCTTGCACCGCAATGCTGTTCGCAATGGCCGACCGGGCCGGCGCTCTGGCCGAAGATGAGCCGGACGCTGAGCGTGGTGCTCCATGTGAAGATGAGGATGCGTACATTGAAGAAATGTATGGGGCCCCAGATCCGGAAGAGCCTGCGGACGAGATTGCCTTGCGTGAGGAGCGTGAAACTTTTCGCTTCCACGGCGCCTCCTACATCTTGCACGAGATGCCGCAGGACTCGCTCGTGACCTCCCGGCGACTTGGTGTCCTTCCCCTTCAATCGCTCTGGGGGTCGTACCTGCGGTGAAGCGGGTTGTCCAGATGGTTGCCGAGGTTGCCGAGGACAAGAAACGCAGGTTCATGCTTCGCGGTATTGACATCATCTGGGAGATGCCACCAGCCAGAATGACATTCCGGTGTTGATCCGAGCTTACAGCGGCCATCATTCATCATGCCAACATCGCCACCAACAATTAATGTGGGCTTCAGCGTCGTCGAGGCTTTCTACTCCGTCCTACGCAAGGATGACGCTAGAGTGCGGAAGCCACCCGCGAGCCAAGGAAGTAGACGCCTGCCCTGTTCTGTCTCGCCCACTCCTGTTGAGTCCGCGTCATATCGGTCAGGCGTGAGGGCGTACTCCCCAGTCGAATAACAAATGCGAAGGGAGTCCTACGCCGAAAGCAATGCAGTCATCATCGACACCCACAAGCAAAAGGTGCACTTCCGCTGCCTCCACGGAGATCCCTATGGAGGTAGGCGCAACATCCCGCAAGCGGCAGCTTTCCTGCAAGAGAAAGCCTATCTTCAAGGGATGTTCCCATGGTGGATGATGAGGAGACCGTGTCAATGGTGGCCGCAGGTACACCGAGGCCAGGGGCGACAACAAGAGGTTTCTTCCAGCAGCCCCGCGCGCGCGCGGCCGGAGTCACCGTCTTGAATGTCACGCCACACAACATACGAACTCCAGAAGATCGCCCGGCACAAGAGTGATGAGGAGAGGGGCCACATGTCATATGAGGTCAGGGAGGTTGGCTTGGCCAAGGACTAAGTGCAGTGCGCAGCCAAGGTCATGCCACCTGCCAGGCTGAGGAACTACTCACGTGCCAGGACATGCTCCGCTTCGAGATCATAGCCCGTGGCTTCCCTCCAGATGCTGGACGTACCCGCCAGCAGGTTATTTTAGGTGCTGGAAGCCAGGCGGACTTCAGCTCCGCTACGCAGAGCGACGTGGTGGCCAAGCTTGTCTACTACAATGAGTTGGCAGTTGAGCCAATGCGTGTGGTCCACCTGGCTGATGAAACAACCACCCGGGCTTCCATGGCGCTTTCATGGATGCAACAATGTACGACGGTTTGGCCCCCGGCAACGAGGCTGCCTGTAGAATCCTTACCCTTCAATGGCATGGTGGTTCTCAACCGCATGACCTTGAATGCTTTGCTTGAGGAGATCAACGGCATCTTCGGCAATAACCTCCAAGCCGCACAGGCAAAGGTGAGGCCAGATGAGCCAGCACGCGCCTAGCAGTCAGCGGCATTAAAAGTCGCGGCAAAAGCAAAGTCCGTTGCGCCCTCCACCCATCAAAGATGGTCTGCAGAGGACCGGCAACGCTGGAACCATGGCGGTAACCATGGGCGTACCTGGTATTCAGCCAGTGAGTGGAGCTGCTACTGGGGACAGTAAGTTCGCAGCAGGATGCCGTGCATGGACCATTATACGCTACATTTCTGCTAACTACCACTCACCAAAGAGCACAACGGTAGCCTGGGGCAAATGTGTGCACCTTGGTGCTCAAAGCATACGGTGAGGGTGCGGGTTTTTCGCATTCCGGGTAGTTTAGCTACTTTTGTTGGCTACTTATGTAAGCTAGGTTGCTACTACCTCTTTTCATGGTCCGCACCTCTCATGCTTATTAATTGCTTGAACGCTTTACGTTGCCGCCAGTCACCAAGCAAGAAAATGTGGTAATCCTCTAACATCAATTTTTCTCGACGACTGCTGCAGGAAGGCGCCAAAAAGAAAAAGAAAAAGCGAGGAGGCACCACGCAGATTTACAAGACGTAGGCGTTTGTTTCGTCTGCTGAGGCAAAAAGAAAGGAGGTCGCTCAGTCGCGCTTGGCATCGTTTTGTTGTAGAGTGCGGCTAAGTGCCTTCAACGTCGAGGTGGTGCTAGCAGCGGATTGGACGGCATTGCCAACTATGGCATTTCTGATGAGGCCGCAGCTGAAATGCTTCTTACGCAACAGAGAGAGGAACAAAGACAGAATGAGTGAGAATATGTTCAACAGTTGCCCCAGCTGCACCAGTGGATCAGAATCGGGGGGGGGAACGGAAACGGATGCCTGGTCCGCCCAGTCCCAACTGGCCGCCGTGGAGATGAGCCAAAACGCTTAAAAATCTTACTGTCAGTTCCCTAATGGGCAATTTTGCTGGATGCGCTTTCCACCTACGTGCACCTTTTTTGCGCCGAAGGCAGTTTCCATGCGTGCCGGCTTGTGGCACGGGTACCGGCTATCTCAGATTTTGACAAAATGCTGAACAACTAGAAAGCTGGACTAGATTTTTCCCAGCTCTTCTGGGAGGCTGAGGCCGCGTGTCCCTGAAGGCTGCCCCAATGTTGTTTGTGATATGTTGAAAAGGATCAGACATGTTGCACTCGCAAACATCAGCAACAACACGCTTTCTTATCTCACGCTTCTGTGAGTGCAACCGTTGCGGGCCCAGCCCTTCAAATTTGAAGAGACAGAGAGAGAGGGAGAGAGAGAGAGAGAGAGGGGGAGCACGCAGCTTTACAGGGGTGTTTGTTGAGCCAATCTGGGGGGTTTCAATGCAGCATGTGCACCCCCACATTGGCCTCGAACCCAGCGTGGGGTAAAGCATGTGTAGATCAGCAGTGCAGGGGGCACAAGGGCAACATTTACGTCTTCATTGCGGTAAGCAGTGATGTATGAAGGCCGTGACTGAGATGGCTGTGTATCGGGAGGTGGCTCAGCAGGGGCTCCTGCCAGGTGTAATGCTCGTTTGCCTGCCAGCAGTGCAGGGGAATGGGAATTGTTTCGCGATTTGCTACTTCTGGCAAAACTCATTCCAGGTCCCATAGAAAGGGTGATGTGTTATAGGAGGTGCTGCTATAGACCAAACCCTGAGAATGCTGGGCTAGGCCCAGAGTGAATTGAATGAATGCTGAGAGCTGGCAACCAGAATCTGTAGCACTCCAAGCCTCCTGAGAATCGAATCTGAACTTCTGTGGGTCTTGGGCCAAGGTTGAGCAGGGCTTTCGAGCTCTGCATATCCCAAAGAAGAAGAGAGGGAGAGAGTGAGAGAGGGCGCGCAACCCTACAAGGTGAGCATAGCCCAAAGAAGGAGAAGAAGAAGGGGAGTGACCAAACGAATGTCTGCGGAGAGATTGTGAGGATTTCGATGCTTGGTGTCAAAAGACGTTGGAGGCTGGTGTGCTGATGTGTGCTGTCAGTGCTGTCACATGTGACGCCTTGCTGAGTCTCAGAGTCTCAGAGTCTCAGAGTCTCAGGCCACAGCAAACGAGACTCAGAAGATGAGCAAAGCTGATCTCCAGAAGCCTCCCAGAGTTGCGGGCTCAACAGTGCAACAGGTGACTCCATCAGTTACAGTTCTTATCCAGGAGTTCTGGGGCTACCAGTACTCTGGCAGCCTGCGCCCGTCTTTCGTGACCAAGCAGCTTCGGATGCCAAAGGATGGATTCTCTCCACGAAGAATTTTGATTGTGCATGGCAACACATGCTTCACATGGCTTCAGGGCACTCTCCTCCCAGACTATGCCTTGGAAGCCGATGCACCGCCCCCGGCATCACCCGGAGATTCATCCGGTCCGGATTCGGGCTTTTCTTTCTGGCTCTTGACTTCCAGGGCGCCAGCGCCTGCGAACGGATAGGTGTCAAGGAGGCTCTGGCTGTTTAACAGCTAAGTAACGGTGTAAGAAAAGAAGAGAAAGAGAGGTGGAAGATATGAGCTATAGTCTAAACTCCTAGTATCCCCCTTAATAACCCAATTTCTAGTAATCCCCAGAATCCCCTATATAACCCCCTTTGAGGAGTTAATAGGGAAAAGGTGGAAAGATGTTAGCGTTTTTAAGCGGTTTCAGGTTCCCATCCTTCAGGGAGCGGAGCTTGAAGCGATGCGCATGGCTTGCAAGTTGGGCCGAGAGGCACGGGGCCGTTTGCTACTGTGCAAATTGGGTATCTGCAATCTGAGGGGTAATAGAGAAGAAAATGGAAACTACAGGAATTATAGAGGTTATATAGGGATTATAGGGTATATATTGGAGTTCTATAGGGACAATGGAAAAGAAAATGGAAACTACTATATTATAACAGGTATATGTTGGGGTGCAGTATCTCTTCACAGGTGCTGGACATCGCTGCTCGTTTTATGCGGGCTGGGGTCACTGGCGACGAGATTGATCGCGTGGTTTACCAGGTCGGCAACGTGGGATGATTGCGTCGTGAGCTATCTCGACACCAAGGCATGTGTGGATCGCAAGATCTACCCTAGCCCTCTGCAACTGGGCGGCACTGGAATTTGCACTATACCCCAAAAGGAGGATAGAATCTTACTCTATATTGGGTACCATAGTATCCCCAAATAAAATGCTACTCTGTTGTCTCACCTCCTTGCAATCTCGTGGTGAGCATGGCGAGCGGCGTTTTCTTTCGGACAGGAACTACTTCCGTTTCCCCAAGGCGCTTTGCGTCTCAGCCAACGAGGTGACGTCAGAACGCACAAAACGTGAGACAACAATATGATGGTCATAGGGTCCTAATTTTGGGGGTTGGGGTTACCAAAATCCCCTTATTATCTTCAACCTTGTGCTGTGTTGTTTGGTGTGGTGTGCAGGTGATCTGCCACGGCATTCCAGACTGCAGAGCTTTGGAGGTCCTTGCACTGTAATTTCTTCTACTTCATGTATTATAGTATATTTTGGTATATTCTAGTATATTATGGTATATTATAGCTTGCTTTCCAGCCTCTACAAGCTTCAGGAGGGAGACATCGTGAATCTAGACATCAGCATCTACCATGAAGGCGCCAGCTGAGCTTCAGGTCAAAGACCCTGTAAGCGTTTGGACCTTTTTAACCAAGAAGGCAACAGGGGAAAGCATTGCTTCTCACATTGTTGCCAACATGCACACATGTCCGCAATCCTAGTACAGGACATGTGCAGAGGGGCCTGCCACAATGAACTCTTTCGTGGGCTGTTCATGATCTGAGCTAGCCGCAGCTAGATGGAGGAGTTGCTCATGGATTCGTTTTGTCTGGAGTGCTGCAATTGCAGCGACGCAAGCTCTTGACACTGGTGGGGGGGCGGGTTCCAACTGTGACGCATACAACTTTGGAGGAGGAGAAGGAAAGAATCGCGAAAAGGCTCGCAACCGCAGAAGACCTTATGCGCAGAGGGGGGGGGTTCATCAGAGGGCGGTGGCCTAGCTTTGGGCTCTGCTGGCACTATCTCCAGTCAACCGCTTGGCGAACCTTGATCTGGTGGTCCATAGTATGTGGAGCGTGTGTCTTAAGATTTGTAGGGTTTAGGGTTTAGGGTCTAAGTGCTGTGCCTTACTATGTACAGGTCATGTCCATACAACCGTCTACATGCATGATTGAACGGCTCAAGGTCCTGGGAGTAATAGTGTACCGGTGCCCAGCGCCGAAAAAAAAATGTGGTCTTGTTAGCTGTACCTGTTTGAGGTTGAAAGCGTCCGTCTCTAATCTTATCATGGTAGCCGAGCTCTTTCCAGGTGGGAGCACTGTCTGTTAACACAGAGGTACGCACCAAAGGGGTACCCAATTTACCAGACGGGCTCACTTTCACTGTGGACTTCTGCGCACATGCGTGTTTCCGTGCCCGGGTATGGACGTCTTAATTCCTTGAAGGTTTACAGGAGCAGTATTTTATGCTTGCACCGGACAAGTGCTCAGCACGGCCGTTCATCATACATGGCAAGTACGCTCGATTGAAACTGACGAGTTGTACCCCCGACGTTTCGTCAAGCTTTTTCTGTTGGGTTCTGGCAGGGTGGCTCCTCAGTCCACGCTTTACCGTTCATCTTGTGCTTTGGCTGCTGTCCAATATGGGCTGCTTTTGACCGTGCACTTTGCGCTTTTGATGCTGTTCAATATGGGCTGTTTTTGGGGTGTGGTGGCGTTGAGGGGGGGCGGGGGGGGGGATAATTACGTCCATAACAAGTCCAGGCACCGCAAGCTCCGAAGGAAGACTTTCCTCACCTTCACAAACCCCAGCCCCCCAACATGTGTTGTAATAGGTCTCAGTGATGATTGAAAGGTCAGCAAAAAGGCTCATCACTACTTATAGCTCTCGACGTGAAACACAGCAAGCTCCGAGGGAAAACCTACCCTAATGCTCAACATATGGGTGGTTGTCAAAATTATGGTCCCTTTTTGGATCCCCATGATTTAGGGCCTGGCGGCACAGGCCGACCTGGCCGTCGCGCTTCCAAAGCCCAGCCATCAGCTGACAACCAAGCCCACCCCAGCCCTGCTGATGCTCCTGATCGGGAGAAACGCATGAAAAAGTGCTATTCTTGCCACACAGCATTTTTGGGGTTTGGAAGTTCTTTGTTCTCTCTAGTTTGACTCAAAACGACCCAAAATGGGGTCCCAATTGTTGAAGGGGCGCTTCAGGGATTTGGGGACGCGTCCTTTGCCCCTGAGGCACAAAGGTCAATGCAGTGTTCGCTAGTATATGCTGAAGGAAACCTCATTGCACTGCAAGCTCATAGGCAGCTCTTCATGATGCAGAGCTATTGCGAGGCGGAATGGTGACCCTGCTTGATTTCGCTAACTCTACATTAGCAATGGGATACTTTCTAGAGGAGTTGATCCAGAAGCGAGCCGAAAAAGAGCCCCTCGGCGAGAATACCGCTTCAATAGCGATCTACTCAGGCACAGCGGCGCATTGGCGCACCCAGTAGCAGCCACATTTCACGCATTGGACAAGCTTCGGAGCCACAAAAATGCTGGAAAGAATTGCAAAACGTGCCCAAAAACCATGCAACATGCACATTTTATAGGGTTTGGCCTGGGCAATGCACGCCAAACCTGTCTCCTGCTTGCCCCGTGGGCACAGGCAGCCTAGAAACCTGAACAGGAGAAACGGGGCCCCAATGATGCTGATGATGCTGGCCAAGGGGGCCAGCATCATCAGCATCATTGGAGCTCCGTTTCTCCATTTTTGGTCGTACCCCAAGAGGGGCCTTGGGGCTAGTTTTCAAAACGGCCCGTGCACATGATGCAGACTTGGGTGGTTCTCCCCAACATGCTATAAACCTCAACAAAACGTTCAAAATACATGCTGTGGGCAGTGTTTGTGGCTGTAAAAACCAGTGTTGGTAGGATCTGCACTGTATGATAAGCATGAGACAGGTTTGGCGTGCATTGCCCAGGCCCAACCTTTTAAAATGTGCATATTGCACGGTTTTTCGGTGTCTTTTGCCCATATTTCCAGTACTTTTGTGGCCCCTAGGCAGGCCCCATGATGCTCATGACGCTGATGATGCTGGCGGGCTGCTGGTCGCTTAAAATGCGCCATAAGCCCCAACAAAACGCTCACAATACACGCTGTGGGCAGTGTTTGTGGTTCAATGCGATTGTTGATGCCTTTTCTTGGGTTCTTGACCCCTCCCGGTCTCAATCAAGCCCAAATGGGGTCCCAATTGTGCTGATGATGCTTCTGTACGAGGCGCGCGCGCGCGCGCGCGCGCGCCGTACAGGAACATCAGCAGGCAGCTGACTTGCAAAATAAAATGCAATCGTGAGCTAGAACATGGTCAGCCTGCACAGAGAGACATGTCAGAAGCCATCATTGATGGCTTTCCTTGGGTTTTCGCCCCCTCCTGGTCCCAATCAAGCCAAAATGGGTTCCCAATTGTGCAGCTGATGTTCCTGTACGAGGCACGCGCTCGCGCGCGCACCTCGTACAGA